GGGTCCATCCTCTCCCTTTTGGAAGACATGGACAAGTGAGCTGCACAAACGGCATAAACAGTTTAGTTATAAAAAGAAAAAGAAAAAAAGCAAGCAGAACCTCTACCATGCAATTGTTTCTGCTCCTCCCTGATGACAGAGCAGGCAGGCCACCAGGAAAGACCCCAGTACTCAGTCTATTCAACACCTCCAACAACCAAACTAACTAAAACGTGAAGGTGCTTTATTTAACCCAGGGGTGCCCTAACATGTTCCCTGAGGGCCAAAATTAAAATCAATCTGAGGGTCATGGGCCAAATGCAGTAATATAGTACATGAAATGCAAATACTTCTTAAGTGAAGTTGTTTTACTTTCTATAATGTGCCAGTGCAGTTGCTCACATTCTTTTGTTTGTTTATTTTCAGTCCATGGACATGGAGAAATTTCAACATATGCTTGGCCAGCAAAGACTCATGGGACTTTCATAATTTAAAATGAGTATATGGGGTCTTACAAAGGTGTGCAAATCTAGATATGGGCTTAAATTTAATCTAAAGGCCATCAACCCCACTGCTGCTCCACATGTGTTCACATGTGCGATGGGTTAAATGCAGAGACTCAATTTCCCCTCTGCGGGACGATAAGGGTCAATATTTATTTTATTTATTTAGTTACTTGTATTTTATATTTAATCTTAACATAATTCAAATATAAAATGAGTACCATGAGTTAAGACTATCTGACCACAGCTCCTTGTACGTGTAATTGGACCAATGGTTGAAAAGACAAAGTGGAAATATAGTGTTTCTACATAAGACAGGAGGATTTCAATCTATGAACCAGGACAACTGCTGGTGGGCCAAATCAAATGGCTTGGTGGGACAACTTTGGCCCACGGGCCACATTTTGGGCACCTCTGATTTAACCTAATTTCCCCGAGGAGCAATAAAGTATTTTTGAATTGAATTTATCATCAAACACATGTTCCCATGCAATGATCAAATTTGTGCTCTGCATTTGACTCATCACACAAGACACTCAACAAATAACACCTATTGACACCTGAACAACTAGAACTAGCTTAGCGGTGCAGCAAACAAAAGTGTCCAAATTAATTATTTTGACTTGAAAACACTCTTCAAATGCATATTTAAAATATATTTCAGAATATAACTGAACATACCATCATTGTTTCCAGACAAGGAAGAGGTTGACAAGTTCTCAGACATCTCGCTGGAGGCAATCTTCAGAACCTTGGGGATGATGTTCGTCTCCCATTTGCGAAGAAAATTGTCGACCTTTCCTTCAAACATCTTTCCAAAGTCTGCATCAAACTAATTTGAAGAGACAGAGATTTTTGCAACAACTTCATTTCAATCCAAATTCCAGTTTAAAACTGAGGTGATCACCAAGATATCACTACATGCAAGCCACAAGATTGCTTTAAAATGAGCAGGACTGAAAACTATTTAAAAAATGATCCAGTTTTGTCATCAAGAATCAACTTACCAAATATGGCATGTCAATGAACCGTGGATATTGTTGAAATATCTCTGTCAGGGTTGGAGAMTGTGTTGTAATCCATGTCCTCCTCTGTGTGAAAGTCTGGGCCATGGCTTGCTTGATTGTTGCTAAATTTTCAGATGAGGGCTTCATCCTCTTTGCCAGAGTCACCCACTCACTCAAGTCCTCATTCGTGTTGGTCACAATCAGAGTTACAAGGTCTCCTGACTTTGTCTTTCGTCTGTATCTTCTCTGGCTTTCTTCTAGATCTCTTCTAAGGTTTTGTAGTTTCATTTCAATGAAACCACTGTGTGAGGCTGGATCATAAAAGTGTTCCTTGGCACAAAAAAAAAAAAATTCAGCATCAGTAAAACAA